CCCCCCGGGGACCAGCAGATCTGATGTGCGTGGCTTCGTATTTACCAAAAATACTTAGGGAATCAAATGAGATCCCCTGCTTGAAGGAAGCAAGAAGCAGTGGCTGGGTTTGCAGCTTTGCCGCTCGCACACAATAAATAATCTCGGGCTTTTCCCCCCCTCCCCACCCCCTTGCTCGTTGAAACGGTGTGTTTCGCTGTGATAGTGCATTCAGGGGAGCGGGTGTTCATCTGGAGAGATGAGAAAAAGATCAGTGTTTACTGTAAGGTTGTTAGGTTGGATGTAGTCTTGTTGAATTAGAATCAGATTTTAATAATTTATAAAGCAGGTTAGGGAAACTGTTACTGAATTTACAGCAGAGAAGTGTCAGTGAAGCTTCTTGCTGACACAATGATCCTGCAGTTTAAGTGATCTTCTTTAGTCCCTCTCCATTATTATTATTGTTATTATTTTTCGGTAATGTGATGTTGAGAGAGCATGCAAACGTTTCTGCAGACATGGTTACACTTTAATGATGCACGTGATGAAGAGGTGAATCTTTTTGGTGAGATAAAACAGGGCCAACCAATTCAGGTTTTAGGAATATATTTTTGCCTACATTTCCAGAATTTGGTTTATGTAACAGGTAACTTCGTGTTTGTATGTTTTGTTTTTTTTGTCGGACTGTTGAAACCTTAGAAGTGGGTTGCTAAAGTACAGGCCATTCTGTTTCAGTTTATCTGACTTTTTTATTTATTAATCTTGGCTGGGGCCTGAATGCCCTGGTGATGCATTTCCCCCCCCCCCCCCCCATATGATAAACAACCCAGTTTAAGGTACAGGTTCATGTTGCTGATAGTATGTTATATTTAGAAAGTGTAAGGTGGTAGTGAGGACCTCAGGAGAAATAAAAAAGATGGATAAAGACTTTTTCCTTATTGTAATGCTAGCTTCTAAGTTCAGCTTCTGGGTGCTGCACACGCTTCCTCAAAGCATCTATGGAGTTTATACTTCCATTTTTGATAGATTTAGTGCATGTATATGTAATTTTGCATTAAACAGTTCTTATCTTTTGGAACTTGTTTACACTGTTGCAATAAATCATGCTTTCTAAAGCTTCCCTTGCAAAAGAAAAAGCCTAAATAATGTCTGTTGCATTGATTTAAAAATTTATGAAGCATATGAGTAACCAAATATTTTAATAAAATAAGTACTCAAAAGTGTTCTCTGTATTGTGGAATCAACTTCTTTTAGCATACGAGTCACTTTGGTAATTGAAGTCAACAGACATTGAGGATGAGTAATGCTTTCCAAGGACATGTTCTAAGACCCTGATCCTGCAAGTGCTTATGCCGATGCTTAACTTTGCAGGAGTGTGTAGCCTGACTGAAATCAACAGAGCTACTCGCCTTAATGGTTGTGTTATTAATGTAGATAGTTCTCTTGATTTCAGCAGAGGTGCACATGCTGGTGAAGTGAACTGTACATAGAGCAGCTTCAAGTGTGTAGGCCTGAATTCCTTCTATCTCATTTTCCTTATGTATTACTCGTGTTTTCACCAAGATGCAAGGGACCTTTTTTAACAGACAGGACAGGGGTGGTAAATATAGTAGCTGAATGGATCAATTCACTGTTTAAATGTTTCCTTTTGGTGTTTCTGAGCAGTAGGGGATCAGCTACAGGAATACAACCGAGGCAAGTTTTATAGGAAGAAGCAATGCTTATTTCTTAGACCAGCTGATAGAGTTGGGAAACAGACAAACTTCTGCTTGCAGAAACCTTTTTTGGCTCTCCCTGCAGACCTTGTCTGGCTTATGCCCTCAGAACAGTTATGGCTACCACACTGCTGTTCAAATGCCAGAACATGGAATAACTATGTGTAAAGAGACTCGCTAGGAAATAGCTGAGTACTTCTAAAATGGGGAATAAAGAAGTAACGTGTAAAATTATATCAGTGAAACTGTGAAGCACAGCAGTACTTTTGGTTGTACTTTCTTATATTTCTATGAAGTCTTATATATAGGTGTGGCAAATAAACCAGATTTTTCTTCTGGCCTATTTTTTTTGTCCTATGCATGTTGATGACTTCAGTGCCAAAAAAAGATTTGCACCTTTTTGGGTACCCATTCTTTAGCATGCATGATGCCTTGCAGAGTGAGCTGAAATTACTTCATCCCAAGGAACACAGAGTTTAAGGCTGAAACTCTATCTAAAGTCCACAAGTGTATAAATTTCTATTGGCATAATGATGTCAGCATCAGGAATGAATTTCTCCTGTTGCAGGATTTTTGGCAAATGGAAGACACAGATTAAAAAGTGGCTGATAAGAATTATGACACTGTTCAATTAAGTTTATTTCATCCAATTTGTACATGCATTGGTGGGTTTGCTCTCTTAACAGTCTACGTAGGTGAGTTGTTACCAGGAGAGTGGTGCAGAAAGAGGAAGAGTTTTTTTAAAATTTAGATTACTATTTACCCATTTCTTCCATTTGGAATATGTTTGTAATGTTTGTTTTCCTTCAGTAGGGATATGTCCTCAGCACCAACTACTCCTCCATCAGTGGATAAAGTAGACGGATTTTCTCGGAAGTCCGTCAGAAAAGCCAGACAGAAGAGGTCACAAAGCTCCTCCCAGTTTAGGTCTCAGGGCAAGCCTATCGAGTTAACTCCCCTGCCTCTGCTAAAAGGTAAGCTCAAGAATTATTTTTAAAAAATAATACAATTTTACAGCTGACTTCTAAACTCAAAATATTGTAATGCCGGAAGTTGCGGGAAAATTTTGCTAGCAATGCGAAATGTTTCATGCCAGAAATTGTATGTATTTAAGAACTACAAAATATTTTATCTGTGACTTGAGGGCATGGTAGTTGTTTGCAATACTTTTGGAAGTTTTAAATGCTAATGTTAAACTGCACCATGACTGGAATTTTCAAGGCACTCAGGCTGTGTGTGAGTATTTTAGTTTGTGAATCTTCAACAGTTGACTTAAATGAAAAAATAATTTTGGTGATGGTAAATTGGCTTGTGAGCAGAGGGAAACTGCTTTTTAGGCTCTTTGCTTGTAATGTGTGGGTCTGCAGACTATGATAGTGGTGCCAAATGCAGCCCACAAGCATATTTTCAATGCCCTACAGCAAAGCATTAGTGGGGAGATGGGACCCCTTCTCATAGTATTTGTGAATGAGTAACTCCCAGCTCCTGACTTCTGCTGGATTTTGAAATTGAGAGGTCCCATGAGCTGTGGCCTCTCAAGAGGAAAGGTGCCAATCAGGTCTTAGGCACTACTGGCTTGAGAACCTGCATTTCCCAGCTCCTGTTGAGTTTCTTCTGGCAGATTTAACCTCTAATTTGGGAAATAAAATTATGATCCGGCATACTACTCTTGAAAAGTTGCCAATGTTTCCATAATATCTCAAATGCTTCCCCTAAATCCCAGTTGTCAGTGAATTTCAGTACTAATCCAGAGGTCAGAAGCGTCTCTCAGGTTTATGTCTGATGAGTAAAGTGAAACTGCTTTCCAGAGGTGTTTGGGTTTTTTACACTGAATTCTCAAATTGTTTATTTAGTTATGTGATTTTTTTTCATTGGCATTCTTCTTTTCTGTTACAAGTAGTGAAAATAAGCATGCTTGATGCTGATAATTCTGTAAAAAAGCAAGATTAATAGATTTAATACCATGTCTGTCTTGTTTTTGCTTTGTGGGAAAGTATATTTCCAGCATTCCTTGCTCTACCTCTTTGACAAATTTGATAATCAGAGTACTGAAATATGTAATAACTGTGTAATTGCACTTTAGCTTAGTTCTTAAATCTGCTTTGTAAGAATAGAGAAGTAGCAAAAATAAATAAATAAATCACACACTTAAGTCTTTTAGTTTCAAACTGGGGTTCTGGGATTAATCCTAGTGGAGTTGTCACTAAAATACTTGGGGCTTCTTTCTGTGGATACATGTAAGAATGCACAAAGGCCATGCTGGGTCAAAAGAAAGATCCATCCAGCCCCACTGCACTGTGCCTGACACTGGCTGGCTTGGAAGGGTAGAGTAGAAGAACAGGAGGCTTGGAGTGATGCTGTACCAGAATGCTCCTTTCCTTCAGCACTTCTCAATTTGAGATCTGTCAATGCCAGTAGATTGGACTTTGTAGTCTATGAGGAGTATTATTTTATGCATTTTTCTTGTTTTATGACGGTATGACAGAGAAGCAAATGCTGCCTTAACATTACAAGCTCAGTTTTTTAGTTTTGCAGGTAATTTTTAATATGCAGGTGATTTCCTTCAGAAGGTGGATGGAGTTTGTCTGTTGACTTGAATGGGTAGATTACTGGAAAACATTGAGATTTGTGTAAATGAAGAAATTGATGTTACAATTATTTCATTCTACTGTGTAGTCCCACTCAAGGAATAAACTAGCATAAGAAAAAAGTTGCCTCTGCCTGAGGACTTGTTCTTGCAGGGATACAGGCATATGCAGGTGCTTAATTTGACTACTGGAGCTAGTCCTGTGGATTTAGATATGAAACTATAATAAGATAAAACAAACAGATGGGGAGCAGAGTGTTGGTGAGGCATTTATGATTAGTGTCATAATGAGTTACAGTGGTCCAGCTTCAAATTAAGAATCTGATCTTGTGATTTAGTTTTCCCTCTTTGACTTAATGCGGATTCCCAGAGGCACTGGGATCTACCTGTGCAGATTAATTTGCAGGATTTGGGCCTAACCATCTATCTGAAACAGCAGAGTTATTGGTCCCTGATGAAGGGACACTGGCAGTTAAAAATTGTGTTACTGTTTGAAATATTCTAGACCTAAATTAATATTTGTAGCATTCAGGATTATTAAACCTGTAAGAAGTGAGGAAACAGTTTCTTCCTGCATTTTCATGCTTTTCTTGGGCAGTTGACTAAAAGTCCTAATCTTATAAACTCTTAGATTTATACTTATCTTCAAAAAAGAAACTAGGCCTATTACTTTGTTCCAGTTAATAATATGATTTCCAATTTTGTCACGATCATTTGGGTCTTTCAAACCAAAACAGAGAAGAGATTTCAGCAAAATAGCTTTTTAAAGTCTCAGAAAAATGAGATAAGTTTGGAGATCTCCAGCTGCTAATTTTATTTAAACATTTTTGTTTCGGGTACATGTCAAGTTTAATTAAACCTTTTCAGAAATACTTCAGCACAGGAAATTTTTAGAGGACAGGCCTCAAATTCAACCTTTGACATATTTCGTATTCTTGATGGAGAAGCTTTGCTGACTTAAACATACATGCTATGCTCCTTTCTTTTTTTTATAACTATATTGCATATTGTAATTTGCAGGCTGCCTTCTCTCAAAAAGCACTTTTATGGACTTCAGTGTTTTCTCTGATTACAAGAATAATGTATGCAGGAAACTAGATAAATGGTTAGTCCATTCTTTGCAAGTTTTTTGTGCTGTGTCTGTCACCATAATGGTTTGAGCACCTTCCAGTAGTGTATTAAGTGATGTGACTACACATCTGTCACATCTTATCTGCTCTCATTCCTTTCCCTAGGGGCAGAGTCATATATAGTGAAATGGCTTGTTTTGGTAGTGTTTTAATGCAGTCTGTTGCTTTCTGTGAACATACATGTCTGTATTGCAAAACCAGATAGATAAGTCAGCGTTGTTGTTGTTCATTTTGTAATAAAAATATTTCAGGAAAGAAAAACAGAGGAGACAATGTGTTTTGGTGCTATGTAGAAGTCTGAAGGATAACCTGCAATTTAGGAAATTTTCAGTATTGCCTATTCCAGGAAAAAAAAAATCATACAGAAATGGAGTTGTAACTGCTGGGGTTATGTCCTTTTTTTTTTTTTTTAAAAAAAAATAATTAAAAAAAGAGTTAAAAATTTTAATTAACAGAAGTGTGTCTTGTATCTTTCTCTAAACAAACATTTAATGTAGTTAAAAAGTACTTTCTGAGGCTTTGTTTGGCTGACTTTAGGCTTGCAAACACCACAAGCTGCTCTGTTTGCCTACAGTAAAAGCTTTTCTGGTAACTAAAGTCTATTTTTGTTTATTAACTTGTGACTAAATCTAATGTGGAGTTACCTTTCTTAATATGACTGAGGTCCAATGAAACACTTTAAACGCAGCCTTATCTCCTTTGTTTCATGTGTAGGTGACTGGGACAAGAAATGCATATGGGAGTTGTGATACATTTGTCCTGCATTTTCAAAATGTGTAGTCCTATGTATGTGTTGATCTCCTCTGTGTTTTCAAGTGTTTCTGTGCTCTTGCCTGGTGTATCTTGCAGTACATGATATCTTTGGATTTTGGTTTTAAAGAGGCTGTTGGTATCATGAAGGCTAGCAGGTGTCCTAGATAAACTGGTTGATGGCAAAGCAGTCCTAGTGAAGGGCCTTTTTCTGGGAATGAGAACTTCCACCTCTGTGCCTTAATCAAACTCAGCCTGAGCAGGGTAACCAAGTTTGTGACATGCCTCAAGTCATGCTTGCTCTGGAGAAGAAAATAGTATTGTGTCTGCTTCAGATTGTATTATTTATTGGAGGATTATTTTCATTTTGCATATATACTCTATTTACTTAGGAGTCTTTAGAGGTAGATTGGTAGGAATACAATGTTAGAAAGCAATTGGTTGGAAAGAAGTAGATTGTAGCACTGAACAGCATAGTAATTTCAGTATTACCTGTAAAAGGGGAAAGAGGAGTTCATTTGTGTTTCTCCTAGTGGCAGTAGTGATAGGGCAGTGTCCATAGTAAAAAGATCATATGCCTTATGAATACTTATTTAACATCTTGAGAAATTGGGTAGAAAACTTGCATGTAATTCACAGCATTCTTCCCATCCAGCTCAGCCTCATTAAAACACATAAGCTAGGTACAGCAAACCATCCAAAAGTAAAACTGTTAAATTTTAAATGAACCTATCCCATTTTTGTAATTTCAGGGTGTGCATATTTTTTCCTGTTACACACCCACATTTTCCAATGATTTAATAGAATTATTGTAGTTTACTTTCAGGTCTCCTAAAACAGTTGTATGTTTTTGCTGAAAAAAGCTCAAAGTATGATTTTTAAATATTTTTTTTTCCTTAGAACAGACACTTAGAACAGTTGTTCTTTGTCAACAATACCAATTGCTTTGCTACCTCAATATTACAAAATTTATTGAGCTTCTAATGCCTTAATCAGATAGTTTCCATGGCATTAAAGAATTGCTGTAGTGGCAAGAAAAGAGCGTTGCATAGGCAGAAAAGGAAGATCTCTTTTTACTTGCTGTTTGCTTTTGTTCTTTGATCTGCATTTCTCAGACTTACCGATACCGCCTTCAGAACTGTACATATGGGAAATAGGTATGAGTTGTAGAAGAAGACAGGTACAACTTATCTTTTCTGTTGACTTCCATGGCTGTTGGCTACTTGTGATATTCTCTATTTGTGAAATTCAGAATGCTACATGGATATCAGTAAACTGTAAATAACATATCTAAGCTATATACTTCCTCCTACTTTATAAACAGGACTTACAGGGTCTTAGGGGTTATGACTTTTCAAAACAAAATTTTGCTTTATTTCCATAACTGGAAATAGGTCCCAGACTCTTGATTCATTGTGTGGAAGAAATGCTTAAACTTGGTTTGGGCTGTTCGAATCAATGGTGAATCAAGCATCAATCCTGGAACTTTAGGAATTTTGTGCCTGTC